TTGTGCACTCGCCTTATTTGTACCGACAACAGCAACAACATTTAGTGGAGCCACTTGCTTGTGCTTTGCGTTGGCGGCTTGCTGCCAGCTTGCCAGTTGCCAGTTGCAAGTTGCAAGTTGCAAGTTGCGAACTGCTGTTCGCCTTGTGCTTGTATGTTAATTTGTTGGCATGGGGATCTTTAGGCTGCTTGCTGCTTGCTGCTACGCTTTTAGCCTGGTCTAGCAGCGGCAGCAGCAGCAGCAGTCACAGCGCGTGTCATCATTAACGTGGCTTCTTTCCTGGCTATTGTTGGCCCTTTGCATTGTTCCAGCTGCCCCAACCTAATCCCTTTTCCTTTTGCCCCGACCATCTTTTGAGATCTGCAGCCAACAATAGCGACCACATTAATGGTAATGGCAACACCAGCGGCAACAACAAATGCAACAGCAACCAGAAAAGCGCCAACAGCGACAACAGCGACAGTTGCTACTGACCCAAAAACCGAACCGAACAACAACCAGCAACAGGCATAAGGCAAAAGGCTCCGCTTTGCCAGCTGGACTTCCAGCTAACAAAGTGTCCTAAAGACTTGCCAACTAATAATTCAAGTGGTTTTCCATTTCGACAGCTTAGCATGAAAGTAGGAGTGGAATAGATAGATAGGGTATATCAGTTGTAGATCTAGGTTTCTACAATCCATTACAATATTTTAAGCAGAACTTGTCGATATCATAAAATTGAGAGCAATTATACATAGATGTATTAGAATTTATGCACTGAATGAAAATGAGCATCGCTTTGATATGTGCGAGTCGAAGATGAGAGTGAGAATTGACAATTTAGTTATAATGTAATCAAGCTAAAAATATATCATATACAATAGATACGATTTATTCTGACATTGGACTATCGACAAGTATTACGTCAGACTGCAACTATTTAACTTCTTATTAATTTCAATAATAAAATAGATAAATGGAGACAAGAGTTTATTGAAGCTGATTTATACACACTTATCGCTGATCATTTTTGATCAGAGATAAAAAATTAATAGAAGTGCATTAAGAAGAAACAGCAACAACAACTTTCTTTTATTTGTCGACATTTTGGGATCTCACAAGAGCTCGCTCGCGAGATTAATTTCGTACAAGACAAATTGAGTATGAAATAGGACGAAATGGCTATAAAAATATATCTTAACAGCGTGATATTATTGAGTCTTATGTCCGATTCACTTGATAATTCGTTTTATGTTCAGCTGACGTAAATTTATAAGACTGAGACGTCTGCTTCAGTTGTAGATCTTGCGAAAGCTAATACTGATTATAGACAAAAATAAAAGCAAAACTCGCATTGGGTTTGACTAAGCATTGGGTTAATCAGCTGCAAATTAATGAGTCCGCAAAAGTTGTTCACAATTTTATTTTTATTTTTTCTGTGCAAAATCGAAACGCCAAGTGGCACAGTTCGAATCTTGGCCAATCCGTTGGCCACAATGGGAACTAGTTGGCCAAGGCCCACGGAAATCTGTGTGGCAAAATCTTCCCAAGCCGCTTTGATTAAGCGCTGTGACATTTCTATTGCCTGCTCTAAAGAAATTGAAATTAATGGATCGGATTGAGTTGAAATCGGAATCGGAATCGGCATCGCTCGCATATTAATAGATACTTGGATGTTGGCATTATCTGTCAGCGCGATCGTTGCCTTATGCAAATGTGTATGTGTGTGTGTTAGAGGAGAGGAGAGATATAGAATATATGTATCAATATAATTTGTAATTTCGCAGCGAGCTTCGCTTTGAGAACTAAACTTTGCCAATTGCAACAATAAGAGAAACTTTGCCAGCCTCAGAGGCAGATGCGTGCGGCATACTTTGTTAGAGATTATCGGCGACAGGTGACAATGACAGCTTCATTATAAAGCAATTAGTGTGATGTACGAGCGTATGTGCGTGAGTGTGTGCAAGTGTGTGTGAGTGCACATGCAGCTGGGCACACTGTCTATGGACTACAGACTATGGCAAATTAATTTTTAATAAGACACAGACACAGTGCGACAAACTGCCAGTGACAGGAGTCACATGAGGTGTCAGGACACCCACAAGCACCCACAGACACACACACATGTTCGCTCACACACACAGATGTAGTGAGTTAGGAGTGCACTTGACTGCCAGACAGACTGCACTTGTGCCTGGCTCCAGTTCAGGAGCGCAGCCTGGGCCGAGTTGCGTCTGTTATTCAATATAACAGCATGTTGAACAACGTAAGCAACAAGCAACGGCAGCAACAACATTGACAACAACAACAAGAACAGCAGCTAAGGCAACAACAAGCTGCGACTCGCCGGCGTTTGCTGGAAAATCTAACGAATATATGTAAACGATATGCTAGAAAAATGTCAGTCAAACTGTCGCTTCCAACACACGCGCAACAGCAACAGCAACAACAGCAGCAATTTTAGTCACTTGATGCTTATATTGAAAATTGTTTTCTGCATTGCATTTTGCACGGGCCGCGTCGCTGCATCCGTCGGGTATCTGACTATCAGGTCTGACTATCAGGTATATGAGTCTATGGGTATCAAGTATGAGTACCCATGAGTGTATGCGTGAGTGCTACCTCTGTACTGCCAGCTGCGACTGCTGCCAAACAGTGGCGGCAAAAAATAAACACATTTATGGAAATTTATTCATAGAACTTATGAAACCGATAGACAACAACCGGCAACAACAACAACAACAACAATAAGAACAGCAACAACAACAAAAGAGGCTGCCTGACTGGGTCGCCTGTCCACTCGTCCATTCGCCCAGGGGCTGCAGAGGGTCCCCCTCTTACCCTAGCTCCCCTTTCGACCACACGTCTGGAGGTTGTGAGCCTGGTTTAGTTTCGCCAAACAGTTGGCAGTTTTGTTTCTCTTCTGTTGTTGTTGTTGCGGCTGTTGTCCAGCCTTGGTTGAGCTTCTGTATTCTGAAATGCTATATTTACTATATAAACACAAGCATACATATGTATATATACATATATATCGCACTGTCCATGACAGTGGGCAGTACGTTTGTTTAACGAAAGTGCAAATATTGTTTTAAAAATAAAAGATGAAGCGGTATGGATCCAGAGGAAATCATTTCATTTGAAATATATAAAGCATACTATTGTACAAATCATTAGGTTGAATGTTAAAAATGTCAAGGAATTGCAGTACATAAGTATTGTCATTGCTTAGAGTACTTAAATACTTAAAAATGTTTATAGATTTGATGAAATTCAAAAATTAAGTACAGAAAAGTACAGGATATTTTGAGAACATTCAAATTTTTCATTCAACCCAAGAACAAAGAGTTTGTTCTTATAGAAACATGGACATCAAGGAGCTTCTATATTTAAATAACATAGTTAATACAGAGCTCTATAAGAACTAGAGAACAATGGAACTTTAGTGGAACTACAAATTTTAGACATCCCAAGCTAAGTAAAAGTCCATCCAATAGGAATTAATAGATAACCGTTACAATACAATTAACTATATTCAAACAATAGTAAAATATTAAGCATTACAAACAAAAATGTCAGTTTATTAAGATAATCGCCGACAAGCTGTCTGAAAATGTTCCCTGAATATGAAAAATATCTTTGGATAAACATTTAAAATTAATTTGCAATGTTAAACAAATAAATTCGTATAATTTCCAAGTTTATTCGCTTTACAGTTGGCGTTTAATGTAATTGTTATTGTTGCATAAATACTTGACGCCATGTCGTGGCACATCATCATTACAATTCACACACACACACACACACAGAATGGCACTCAATAGATTCAACAGCAGAAAGAAACTTAAAAATATGCACAAAATATGAACGAGAAATGATTTATGGCATTCACAGCAGCCACAGAGCACACATTGTGTGTGTGTGTGTGTGTGTTTATGCAGTTGTAAATGCGAGTGGCTGTGAGTGGGTTATGTGGAACATTTGCGGACTGCTCTCTTATCTGTTCAACATTTGGAAGCGTTTCATCTACATGCGCTAATTATTTCATATGCTCGTAAAGTGACTCGCTCTCGCTCTCTCTTTTGCTCGCGCTGTCGCCGTCTCTCTTTATCTCTTTGGCTTGTGCATATATTGCCTATTCATTCACTGTATTCATTTGTGTCAGTTGCTGGCATTTACCTAGAACAACTTGTTTGATTATTGAACCGGGCAAGTGTTTAACCCGCAATTTACGATTCGCGATTCGCGTTTTGCGATTTGCGATTCGCGATTTGTGATTACAACTAATTTGTTTTGTAAAACGTGTCCGTCTGACTGCCTGTCGGTCGATTTGTGGTCTCTCTGTCTGGCAACTGCTGGCAACTCGTAAAAGATTTATGAACTGTTTTAATGATCTAATTAAATTGCAACTAGCCATGAATATCATCAGCCGGTTCACTTCACTTCGTCTCGCTGTCATTTCTCGTTTCTCTATCAATTATGCGTCAAAACTTTTCGATCGAAAGGGGCCACGATGGAGGGGCCTCTGGCTAACCAGTAGATGATTATTTTGAATTATCGACACGTGTTTATGATAATTCTCGATTTGCAAATAATGTTGCTTAGTAGGAGAAGAAGAAGAGAGTCATGAGAAAATAGTTGATAGCAAATGTCAAGGGAAATTTAGGAAACTAATTACAACGTTTTGGTATACAAATATTACGAATACAAATATTATGAATAGATCGAGTTCTCAAATATTTTAGCATTTTAATTTTGCTTATATTTAATACAATTAAACTATCAATTAAATAAGTTAACCATAATTTATAGCATGCCATTTGTTGTCTCTAAACGAAAGTGAAAATAAATAATATTTTAACATGATGTTCTTAATGAAATATATGTTTATATATATATAAATATATACAAAAATAAAATTAATATTAAAATAAATGTATGTACATTCAAATTTAGTTTTAAAAAGATTTTAGCTTAATTCAATTCAATTTTCTTATTTTTCAACTCATTCAAGATTTATTTACCTTAGTTTTTGTGATTGTTTTCGTGTCTTTTACGATATAATTTTTGTCTTCTTGTTGTTGGTTTTTGTCTTGATTGTGTAAAAATCGGTGCCCAAAATATATAAGTGTATATATATTAATATATATATATAATGTTGTGTACTCTGCTCAGCTTAGTTTTAGTGCGTAAATATTGATGATTTCTGATGATGTTTTTTTTCGCTTATTCGATTTTCTATATATACAAATCGACGTGTGTGTTTGTTGCTACTTGCTGAAAACTCGCGTATCTCTACTTTATTATATGTATATATTTAATATCACAATTTCTTTTTAAAAACGTCGACGTTTTGTTAGATTTACACTTAATTTAAATGATTCCGTTGCGTTAAATTTTTATAATGTTATATTTACAAAATTCAGAATCACAATTTTTGTTTTTTTTTTTATGATTTTTTTTGAATATATATATATATATATAACTAAGCACGATTTTTATTTAAATTTATATATATATACACTCACACACATATATACAATGTAGAATCACCAAATAAAACGTTCCGAATGTTTTGTTGTTGAGTTTTCGAGCTTTTTATTTGTAGTTGTTGCTATTTTTGTTGTTGTTGTTTTTGTTATTGTATTTCTGCTGTCGAATCCGGAGATGAACTTTTTGAATTTCTTGAAATTTTGCAAACGATACAAAAGCAAAATGAACAAAACTCGCGCCACAACGATGGCAATCAGAACGATAAACGAAAGGACGAGAAGACGCAAACGCAAATAATTTCGATGTTGACGGGTCGACTTGCGTTTTCTACCCATAAACAACAAATATTTGGTATATTATGCACGGTCAAAATCAATTCGGAGTGTCGTCGAATACTGCGTCTGGAACTGGGTCTGCGTGCTTATCAGCATACGTTCCTTATCAGCTACGTACAGGGCTCAGGTTCGAGTTTGGGTTCGGCGTTCTTTGCTGAGCCAGCGCCAAAAATTGGCAGAGCTTTGGAGTCGATGCTGCTGCTGTTGCTGATGATGAAGTTGATGTCGATGTCCCACTGCCGATGACATCTCAGCCCCCGCAGACACGAGAGTTCAGTTGCTGTTACTGCTGATAAGGCAGTCGGGTGCAATTGTTATTGCAAATTGCAAAATTCTCAGTAAAGAAAGCAATTTAATTGATTTTTAATTTTAATTTGGATTTTCGGCGACTGATTAGTCAGTCCACATACAATTTTCTACGAATTTTCCATGTCATTTTCACGGAAACTTATATTTCATACTGCTACACGCGTTGCCTTCTGTCATTTTGCGCCAAAATAAAACTGGCACAAATTTTTACTTGTCAAAAATGTTAGAGAAGTCAAGAAAGTAAATACGAAAAGCGCTTCGAAAAACTTCCTTTAAATGCACAAATACAAATACAAATACGCAATTATTGATGCTTGTGTTTTGCTCGATGCGAGCGAATTTTTACGTCAGTTTTGGAATGAAGTTCGCGAGAACGAGTACCCGAGCAGCGGCGGCAACACGTCTATTTGGCACGTTCATTCATTCACAACTAACCGTAAATGCTCGTAAACATGTATCTTTCGGATTCACAAACAAACTTACGGATACACAGCAACACGCTCGGCAACATGTTGCGCACCAAGCATGTTGCCCCGTTCCCACGAACGGCCAACGCCGAGCTGGCGAATGAGCGAGCCGGCAACACAATATGATAAATGGCGGCGTTGTTTTTGGGCAACGGCAACTCAAATATACAGTGCGGACCATGTGCATAGAAACAAATTGACACGACAGTGCTTAGGATAGCAGGAAAGTGTGCTCAAAGGAGGTTAAGCCCGATATTACATGGAGTGACATTTGAGTATGTATGTAGCTCTTGATGAATATCGTAAAAGTATTTGATAGATAAGGCTTATATCAATTTATTTTAATTTATGACACTATAATGCAGTTACGAATTCATTTAATAAATTGTATTAGTCATCTTACATCAAACAGTGTTACAGAATAGAAATATAATTATTTGAAGCTTTGTGTTGTATTATTAAAAATATATCAATAAATTCAGTTTAATTACACAATATTTTTCAATTGCTTGGCCGTAAATATTCTACTTCAATACAAAAATTCATTATTATAATTATATATGCTACACATTTTAATTTCTTTAAACCTTTAAGCCGCGGTTTTATATGCCGTGCCTAGCATAGTAGCTTCGCAACATTTGGTTGTAGGCATGCTGCCAAGATGCTGCCAACATGTTGCCAGCGTGTTGCGTGCTCGCGCTGCAAACTTGTTGGCTGCATGTTGCTGAAGCGCAAATGAAGAAATAACGAAATAATTGCAGCTAAAGTATTTGACAGTGAATGAGAATTACTATTGAAAAAAAAAAAAAATAAATAAAACTGAATAAATTAGATGCACATTGGGGTAAATTAATAACTAATAAATACACATAGCTAGCTTATTGGGAATGCAATCGATAAGCGTTTACAAAACTCAAAATTGAAATTGAATTCGAATTGGAAATGGAAATGGATATGAAATTGGAAATCGTATGTAAATAATAGAAAAATGCAAAATTGTGGCAAGGCACGATGCGTGGCGCCGTTTGATTTGGTGCCGATAATTGCTGTCATGAATATATAATAATATTCTAAAATATATTCAATTTATGTGCTACTTGAAGGGGGGTTGGGTTGCAGCGGCGACACGACTCTGCGTTGTTTGTTTAGCCGAAAACCCTTTCAACTTATTTTTTGGTGGGAAACTGGCTGAACTTGAAATTCAGCTGTGAGCAACAACAACAACAACAGCAACATAATCACAGAAATTACCGCCATGCATATGAAATACAAATATGCCGTCGCCGTCGCCGTCGCCGTCGCAGTCTCCATCGTCTACGTCGACTGCGCCGCTGACGTCGCCAAAAGCGCACGCAACAAACACGAAATTTTTGTTGTTTTTTTTTTATTTTGTACAAAAAGATTTATTGCTTTTGGCGGCGCAATTGTTAAGAGCGCGCGAGAGAGATAGAGAGCGAGAGAGAACGAGATAGCGCCTCATGAAATAGTAAAAAGTTGAGCTACAATTGAAAGTGAAAAGCGTGGAAACGTGGAAGTCATCGAGAGTGTCGTTGGAGTTATTGTTGTTGTTGTGGCTGCTGCTGCTGCTTGGTCGGTCAACGACGCCAGCGGCGACGGCGACTACAAGCAGGCCACGAGAATGGCTTCATTATACTAAGGTCCTGCCTCTGATTCAGGTCCTGGGGCGACTTTACTTTTCATGTTGTTGTTGTTGTTGTTTTCAACATTTCTGATTTCAATATCCCTTTGCATACATTTAAGCGCTAATTGCGTGAAGCCATAAATTTAAAATTCTTGCTTTTTATTTGACTACACAAAATAATGAAACCTAAAAAAAGGGAACAGCCCAGACGTTGATAACTTTATTTAATGCATTTGCAACGCCGCAAGAGCAACAGTTGTTGTTGTAGCAGTTGCTGTTGCTGGAGCTGTGGCATCTAAAATTGATTAAAGGCCTTTTTTAAACACTAGCCTACGGTTAACAGCAGCTGCATTAGGCTACTAAGCGAACTTAGCCGATATGAGATATTCAGGAATTTTAATTTAGAAATCGTTTAATGTAATATAAATTTAGAATTAAAAAAAATTACTCAGAATATATATAATAAAATTACAGTGAAATAAGAGAAATTTCTTATTCATAAATTTGGGTGATTAATATTATTTTGAAATGAATTTGGTTGTGTTTATCAGTTCTTGAATGGTACCAGCATAATTGAAATTTTTCTGCTTGTGATAATGAATGAAACAAGGAACAGATTAGAGAGTGAAATATGTAAGAAATTATTAATTTCAATATTATTAATATAGGGTTGACTACATTGGTTCTTTGAAAGCTTTGTATCATCGATATATTCCAAACAGATTTTGACAATTTTTCCTGATAAAATCACTTAGGCCATTGTAAATAAAAGAAGTTGTTACCAACTTTGCACTTTTCCATTTAATGGGCTTCGGTTACTGTTAATTTAATTTATTTAGGCATCTGTTTCGAGCACATTTAACATCCATTAGGCGAGGCAATTCTCTTGATTGCATTCACATCCTATGCACGGTCGCCCAGGCCTGCCACCCCACCAACTTCTAGTAAGTGACATTGACGCGGGGCGTCATCAGCAGCGGTCTGCCCGCCCCAGAGTTGAAAATCACGAGCAAGACAATGGCCAACATAGAGGAACGTATCAAAAACAATTCCCGGCAAATCCGTTTGAATTGAAATTTCAACTTACGCACCCGAAAACCCCGAAACGAGGCCATTGCAACCGCCCTCGAGTGTCCGCTGTCCTCCGTCCTCCATCCTCCATTCTCCATCCGCCATCCGCCATCCGCTGTCCGAGCACAAAGCTGACAAAGACGAAAATCAGAAATCGTAACGTGGCATGTCCTGGCAGCAGCCACTAGACTCGAAATTAGAACCTCCCATGCACAGCTAATGGGCGCACTCGCACTTGGCTGAAAGGGCGAAAGATATTCCAAAACTCCCATATCCGCAACACATTCCACATTCCGCATATGAGTATTGAACGACGAAATGAAACGCACATAAATCAAAATGGCCGGACAGCGGGCCAGCGGACGCCGCACTCAGCTCTACACCCTCCCACCCTTCCATCCCTCTCTCGCTCGCAACCCCTCGCTCGCACTGTTGGTTAGACTGACAGGCTGGCTGCGGCAGGCACACGGGAAATGAAACTGAAAAGGGAAAGGAAACGGCGTTTTGCTCTGCCTCTGCTGTTGCTGCTGCCGCCTCTCAGCCTCTGCCTCCGAAGCTCGACTAACGGGTGGTGGCTCGCAGGGCGAACATGGCTGAGTGCGCGCTGCTGAACAAATGAAATGACGACGGGTTGACTGCCTGTCAAAAGAACAAACATGGGCGCACAGCGTTGCCGTCGCTGCCGCCGTCGCCGTCGCAGTCGCTGCCGCCGCCATAGGAAATCAAATGAAATGAAATGCACACATGACGAAACAAAAGCCCAAGTGAAACCTAACAAAAAAAAAAAACAAAAAACGAAACAACAAAAAATTATCAACCAAAAAGCGAAAAGGCCTCGCCTGGCAGCAGTCAGGC